TAGTAGAGAATAACTACCACAAATACACAGATTTATATTAAAATATTAATGTATATGTAAGTATATTAAATTCAGTTATTAAATTTTAATATTATGAGTAAAATGTTAGTATTATCATTTGTGAAATCAGTCTACTTAATTTATCTAACTACCTTATTTTCTATGACGCTTATATTATCTTCTACAGGATACAAAGTTTCAAGCATAGCTCGAGCTTGTCGTTCAAATTTTCCTGGATAGTAAAAATTTAATGGAAAGGGCAGTGTTTTACAATACCATGGTCTTATTAATTCATTCACATTTTTCTCGTCTATCCACCTAAAGGTAATAATATTTCGTTTTTAATTCATACAATTCCATTGAATTTTATTTCACATACTCTTGCCTTGTAATAAGAGAATGTACATACCAAATGAACTGCAATGCTGGGAATAATTTTTCTTTCAACATTGTATTATAAGCCATAATTTTTGCACATTCTTTTCGACTTAAATTCTGTTCTGTATTATAATTCTTTCCTCTAAAATATTCTATTATATCCTTGGTTTCATTAAATGTACCATCATTAGTTTTTAGTATAGGTAAGTTGCCATTAAATGGATTACTAGTTGCATTAATTTTCAAAGGTATATCATTAAATTTGGCATAAACCTAGAAAAATAAGAAATATAGTACCGATAACATATAGAAATCCATGACTGATAAATGATAATAAGAACAAATTATTAAAAAACTAAAGTAAGTTCAAATTATCTTATTGAACCATTATGGTTTTTGTTATGAGCAGCTGGCGAGAAGTATTTTATGGAATATGATCGTAAATATGTCAACAAGCACGTGGACCAGACGCTCAATACATATTTATAAGCAGTACTCAAATAATGAAAAATTAGGTAACACACATATTGTTTATTAAAATACTGAAATTACCATTCATCTTGTTTACAAGATATAAGAGTAATTAAAATATTCCACAACGTTTTGTGACAATGAGAATATATTATAACCTATACACAAATTACATACCAAAACCTGCAAACATTCCGTGTCAACTGACGGTAAACCCCAATCACCTTTCCAAATAGTTAATTCAAACGTGTCCATTGTCAAAAAATAAAAAAAATTAATCACTTATTTCATAAATTAAAGTACACAATAATCACACGTGCTTCTTTTCACTATACAGTAAACAAAGATTTTTGTCGTTATTAAACCAGATGTAAGATTTAGTGTATTTCTCAGAAAATAATCAATGAATTAATTTGTGAAATCAACAAAAGAAGATTAACTCAAATTTACTTATTTATTTGTACGAATATTTATATATATGCACATTATATATATTGTTACATATAATAGTATATGTTACATATATAGATTAATATAATAATTATTATTAATTATTAATAGTATTTAATAATAATAATTATAATTATTATTATTATTATTATATATACATATGTTACTAATTTATGAAATGAAAACTAAATTTTCACTGAAAGACATCTATAGGTATTTCTGTTACAAAGAAATAGCGTAATAATTAGCGATTTGGGTAGTATCTTCGATTTTTTCAAACTTTAATATATTAAAAAGAGCTATTTAAACGAGCAAAATATCACAAAAAGGTATCTTAAACAATTATAAGTATTTATTCTTACTTTAGAACTAAACCTAAACCTAATTCCAATCTAACAAAAATCCTAGAAAATTTCGCTATTTTTATTTTGTGATTCAGTTTGAAATATGTCGATACATTTCATCGATTTTGAAATATGTCATAAAGCTCAATACTTTCAACAACTTTTGTCTGTACATATAACCGACGCTCGACCATAGTTTTCAAACTGGGTTGGGTTATTACTAGTATTAAGTCGGTCACCGTGAGGCGGTCAGACAGCATTTCTCTGCTTAGTCCCTTTAAAGAATAACTGAATAAATTCGTTGGATCTCAGTTAGATAAAGCAGCGGAATGCTGGCCAACTGCCACACAATGGCCGAATTAATACGACTATTCATCCAAACCGGTTTGAGTTATTGAAAAATGGTTTAGCATTATATTTAACTCTAGTAAGCAAAAATGATGAAATTTTTTGGGATTTTTTCTAGATTGAGGATAGGTTAGGTTTAGTTCTAAAGTACAATTAATAGTATTCATAATTGTTGTACGTAACTCTTTTTTATGATATCTTGCTTATTCAAGTAGCTTTCTTTACATATTCAAGTTAAAACAAAATCGCAGGTATTGAACAAATTGCTCACTATTAGATTAGTAAATCAGTTAGTAGTATTAGTCGCTAATCATTTGTAATATTTATTTCTAAATAATAAGAAATGTACATTTGTTGAAATTAGTGCTTGTATTCTTTTTGTTTGCAAGTATTATATATAAATGATATTTAATAATACCTATTAAAAAAGAAGACTGATATTTCTTTAAAGAATAAACTGCATCGGCATGAAAACTTAGATGGCGCTATGTACATACTACAGATGGCGCATATAGTCTTCTTCGATTGCAGTTGCAAATATTACTACGTCCATTCTACTGGAACCGATTACTATTCCCATACTTCTTTGGAAGTGAGAAAGTTCTCTCGATCTTACGTATAAAATACAAAGTAAGTAGACTTTATCACAAAGCGAAAAATTATAATTGTACGCAATTGTTATTTTAAGGTAGTATTTATATTTAGTTCATTTTGGAATACTTTCAATCGTTATTCAGTTGTTTTTATAAATATTTTAACAATATTTGTAAGCGTAAATTTAATAATTGTTAAATATTATAAATATTTATAGATAAGCATTAAAATAAGAATTATATTTTATTATTCTATTAAACTTAGATTAAAATCGTTTGTATTTGATTTCTTTTTGCGAAGATGTATATATTCTGTTTCTTCCTTCGGAAGGTTCTCGATGGTCCATAATCGCACAAAAAAGATATTGTAGAAAGCCTGAATATCGACGTTACTACTAGAAATCAATTCATTAATTTCGCAGATAATATTTAATTGTATTATATGAAATATGTGCTACAATATGTATTTCGAAGGTCGATGATTGTGTGGTACTTGCATAAGTATGGGAAAAATTTTATACTTGCAAAATAAATCTTTAATCTTTTACGTTTAAATCTGGACAGTCAGCATAATTGAAATAAAGTTTTCTTTCGGATATAAATATCTAATATAGACTATTTTACACAATTGTGCTAATTTTTAACATTTTATAAAACACCTTAATTATTGTTTTTATATTTTTTGTAATTTGAAATGCTTGACCTTACCGGTCTATTATTTCATCAGTTCTAGAAGATTCATTGCTTTCAGTAATCAATCATGTTATTCATCTGCTATTATTCAGCTAATTTTCAAATACATTAATTAGTAATAATTTTTGATATTTCATTTTCTAAAATCATTTATATATTAATTTCATAAAAAATGCGAAATATTACGAAGTATATTTTTCTCTTATTTTTTAACAAATTTATACGTAATATTTAGATAACAAAAAAGAGAATTAGGATTTATGTAACAGCGATAAGCCGAAGGTTAAAGATATAACGGAAAAAATTCGTTACTTTTCTTTATAGCTAAGATAAATTCGATTATGATAATGTTATGAAATTTGGAACTTGAAGGTTAAAGATAATTTATATACTATTTGTATGATAATCTGGTTATTTGTATGATAAAAGGTTTAACATACGAATATTTACAATTTTATAAATATTTGTATTCTTCATATATTTCATATAAAGAAATAATTGTTATATATATATAATTTGTTTATAACAAGCTACTATACAGACAAACTTTCTTTTTTTTACAAGCTCAACAAAGTTCTACAATTTGCTTCATCAAGTAATTTCAATCTTATTGATAAAAATCTTCTTTTTGTTGCAGTAATTCAAAACCCATCATGCCAGTCCCAGCTCTTCAGAAACCTGCTCCTGCTTTCCATGGTACTGCAGTTGTAAAGGGAGAATTTAAAGAAATTTCCCTTTCTGATTACAAAGGGAAATATGTTGTATTGTTCTTCTATCCATTAGATTTGTAAATATATTATTTTATAATTTTTATATTTGGCATTATATGTATAGTTTAACATATCATATACTGATACGTGATCATTTGTTTTACAGTACATTTGTTTGCCCAACTGAAATCATTGCCTTTTCTGATCGTGCCGAAGAATTTGAGAAAATTGGTTGTAAACTCATTGCTGCATCTACTGATTCTCACTTCAGTCACTTGGCATGGGTAAATACACCACGTAAGCAGGGTGGTCTTGGTGAAATGAACATTCCCCTTCTTGCTGACAAAAGTACTAAAATTGCACGCGATTATGGCGTGCTTGATGAAGAAAGTGGAGTTCCATTCCGTGGTCTCTTTATCATAGATGACAAGCAAAAGTTACGTCAAGTTACTATTAATGATTTACCAGTTGGCAGGTAAAATTGATATGATAAAATAATGTTTTTATATATAACATATAGTTTTGAATGCTGCTCTACATAACAAATTCATGTATTTGTAGATCTGTTGATGAGACTCTGCGTTTAGTTCAAGCATTCCAGTATACTGATAAACATGGAGAAGTATGTCCTGCTGGCTGGAAACCAGGAAAGAAGACTATGAAGCCTGATGTGGCTGCTTCTAAGGAATATTTCAAAGATACATAAATGCACCAATTACAAAGATTCCTACATTTTATTAAAACTATCATTTGTGTATAATACTTTATCCGTACTAAAAATCAGTAGATTATTTTGTAACGAATAGGATATTATTTAAATATCAATGCTAATTATATTTTCAATATGAACTATTTTCATTCCCTACAATAAATGTATTTCATATATTGTGTGCTTAAATTATTTATTTAATATTCTCCATTATTTTTGTTTAATGTTTCTATGTGTATAATTGTGTGTCTTCAAAGTGAAGATTGTTATTTTCAATTATTAAATAGTTTTTGTTAGCAACTTAATTTTGAGAGTATGAATTTGAAATTACTGAATTGATGTTATTATGGTAAGATGATAAATGTATATCTCAATAACTTCTCAGTGTAGCAAATGGAATTCTGTAAATCAGTATCTGCCAAATTCTATAATATATGATGACTAATGACTGTGAAAAGGTTATTGCTAAAGCAGGTTAAGAAATTTAAATAATTCATTCATTTACTATGTTAAAAACTGATCAATACATAATTTGCGAAATATATTCTTGATGGAGCACTGAATAGAAATATTTCACTTTTTCATATCATATTTTTCAGAATATTAAGATGTTTTTGATATAAATGTATTTAATATTATATCATAGCCTACAAAATGACGAATTCAATAATAATGTTTTGAAATTATCTTTAATCTTAAAATATAGAGAGAATGTATCAAGAATAACTACAATTTATTTGTATTTGTATAATACTTTCTATTATAATAGTACAATATTTTTTGAAATTACACTACTTCAACATCTCTTTATTATAAGTTATTGAATTCTTTTTATCAGCTGCAACGTAACACTAGAAAATGAGAAACGTAAAATTAGAAAATGATTCATTAGAATGGTTAGTAAATTCAAGGCTAGCTTAAGAACTCAAGGCACAGAAAAAGAGAGAAATCTTTTTATTCAACGACTATGGACGAGTATGGAATAAAATATTAAAACTTTATAACTATGTTCATAAAATTTGATATTTAATTACAGGATGTGGGCTTTGTCATTGCTTTATTGTTGGATTATGTGGTATGTGTGCATTTGCAGAAGCTTGCGTTCTTCCAATTATTTTAGTTATAATCCCATTTATGGCATGTGATTTAAGCCTAAATACAAGCCAAGTGACTACTGTGTATGCTATGTTAACTTTAGGTACATATACATATATATATATATATATATATCGATAGATTATACAAATGTGGCTTATTAGTTTATGCATTTCTTACAAGAATATGACCAATTGATAATTGTTAATTATCAACAAAAATTTACGTATGTAAATACAAGTAAATCAAAATTATATACAATTGAATAAGGTGAAATATGGTTCCAACGCTATTTAGTTCCTCTGCTGCCGTAAAAACAAAGATAAAGAAATCTCATAAGTTAAGCAAGATAAAAAAAGAGATTATGAAACAATGATTAAAAAAGCATATTGCTTAGTAGATAGAATTTGTCGATGTTGAGAAATAATGAAGAAATCTTAGATGATCATGAAAGTGATCATGAAAGGGGTTCTTTCTTACTATCTTTTTAACAATATTAGTAACTAGTAATGACGTCACAGGTCAATTATATGTTAATATAAATTACAATGATAGTATAACCAGAGTTGTACCAACTAACCAAATTTCTCCTCTAGTATAACTAATCAAGCAAGGTTCTCTTGCCATTACTTTAACAATAAGCGGAAAATAATCTGATCACAAATCAGGCAATTACTGGTTACATAAACCCTGTAGTCTCCTTGGTAGAATGAAAAATAACTGGTTAGCAGAGACCGTTTTAAAACCTCATTGATCCTAATTCAATGATGTTATAAATCTTTTTACTTTGTGTCTTTACGTTTCCAAATAAAATATATTTAAAATAAATTATAAAATATTTTATATTTAGATAATTTATAATATTTTATGAAAATAAGATTGTGTATAGGAATGGCTGTAGGAGCATTTGTATTCGGAATAATAATCGATGCAAGTGGACGTAAAGGATCGATTCCCGCCACTATGATCGCTGTGTTTTGCGCCACTATCAGTTTATCCTTTGCGCAAACTACTTTCCTGATATACCTTTCAATATTTGTACTTGGACTGGGGTAAGTCATTACTATCTATGAAATCACATGTGTAATTGTCATGCGTAATAAGTGAGGTATATATATACGTAAAGCTGAAAATATCTGCTCGTTACATATGTATAACAATGTATATTTTTTTAGATTAGCCGGTAATAACGTGGTTTTAAGAGTATATGTAATCGAATTTTTGCCCATGAAACGAAGAGGCTTTTGTTTAGTTGCTTTGGATGTATTAGGAGTTATTGGTTATGTGTCTGCTTTAGGTAAAGATTATAAAGGAGTACGAAAGTCCTAAAGTCATTAAACGTTTTATGGTAATTGAAAATAGGATTGTCATGGCTATTGATGCCTTCGATCGTGCGATTACAAAACAAAAAATTTCGACCAAATTCTTGGCGAGTCCTTATAGGATTAGGAGGTATACCAAATCTGATCATGGCATGTGCGACTAGTTTATTACCGGCAAGTCCTAGATACTTGCTTTATCGGCGTCGGTACGAAGAAGCGTTAACTGTATTACGGCAGATCTATGCAATTAATAATTCGAAGCATGCCGATACTTATACAGTACGATTATCTTATATTAAGTCATTTTTCTCTTTTTATAAGTACAATTTTTCTGTGAGTCAAATTTCAGATAATAACACTGCTAAAATATTGGAACATTACAACCATTTTCAAGCTGCAAACCTTTTATATAAAATTTCAACGACTGAAATATATAATATACAGCAATACATTTTATTATTCCAGTTACGTACTTTAGACAATTGTGTTCGACCAGACGAGGAAGATGAAGAAGATACAGGAAATGTGAGTAAAATAGTGTGGAAATTCTATATAAAAACACGCAAACGAATCCGCAAGATATGCAGCACACCATTTAAATGTACCACGATATTAGGACTTTGTATCAACCTTTTACAATTTCCAGGGTAACATATCGTTTTCTATTAAATGTAATCGCATTAAACACGCTTTATCATTTGTTGTGATAATATGATTACAATAAATAGAATCATTTGGGTTGCTCTTTGGAATACGCAATTGTTTCAAGAAACAGAAAACTTTAACAAATCAGCAAAGAAGAATTCTACATGCGTTGTCGATATAGAGAACTTGGCATTAGGATTTTTGCACAATTGTCAAGAAATAGACACGGATCGTTTCAGAATTCTTTTCTATCTATCTTTGAGCTACATATTAGGAGAAATTTTGTTGCTAATTGGCATCGATGTTATTGGTAGAAAAATATTTCTAGGTAAGCGTATCGTTAGTATACTTTTCATTCTAACGTTGCTATATTATTAAGGCCAAATCTTTTCGATTTTATTTTTTAGTACTTTCAGGATTAGTGGGAACAGCCGCGTGTCTTGGTTTATTATTTACAGTTCATAATATAGTACAAATCGTTCTTTCATTGATCATACTAGCAGCTTACGCGATTGGTCGTACGACAACTTCGATACTTTTACTGGAAAATTATTTTACCGGCGTAAGGTTAATTATGAAACAGTTTCTGTGATTAGACGCATATTTTTTTGTTAGTAACGTATACAAAGATATATGAAATTTTTAGTGAATTTAGTATAATTTCAGGGGTACGATTATCGGTTTATCCAGAATATTTCCATACTTGGTTGGTAGTTTTACTAAACTCTTTCTAAATATACAGTGTCTTACTAGTATCTACATTATGTCAGGAATTTTGTTGAGTAAGTAAACTTGGTGATTAAAAATATTGAACGAATTTAACGAGTTAATGGTTTCAGGTGCTGCTGTTGCAGGGTCACGAATGCCTGACCTAACCCGATTACCGATGCAAGAATAACTTCTTAATGTTCATATTTTTATAATCTCGATAAATTATAAATAATTCTCTATGTCTAACTATAGTTATGTTGTAAAAAACAGAGCAGATCGTTATTCATATTTTGGTAGTAGTCATAAATGTTTCTATAGTACATGAGAATTAGGCAAATTTCTTTCGTGTATGGTATGGTAGAAAATATAATAAAAAATATGGCGGTAAAAATGTAGCAAAAAATAGTTGTATTGGCATGTACAGGGCATGCAGACGCATATAAATACAAACGTGGGCGGCTATTCGAGAGTATACGCCATAGTCTTTCCACCGTCTATTTTCGACGAGAACAGGAAGACCGTCTCTTTTACGTGGTTATCGTGGACATGCTCTCGCGCATGCTCTTCGAACGTGGTGGAAAGCCTCATCGTCACGAATACGCTCTTGTATTCGTTGTAAATACGAATGCCGAATGCTCGCTACCGAAAATAATCACGCGAGGACGTTGTTGCGATTTCAGGCCGCTTCTTCCGCGGCTCTCTTGACGCCGCCAAACGTAAAAAATGCATTCCCACCGCGAACCTTCGAGATATTCGCCGCAAGACCTAGCGATATCCCTTAACACGAATATTCGTAATAACATCGGTTTCATTAATAATTAAACGTACGGTAAAATATCATCGGTCGTGTGCTTACTTCGTGTTGGATCAGCGATAGAGGATCAAACAAGTAAATTGTTACTGATGTGTAACGAAAGAGTGATACAAAATTTGGTGCTGTTCATTGTTCGTCCCCGTTACCTTGACTTCAGCTTCGAAGATAAAAGACATTATAGTTAAATACTTCAGCAGTGACTGTCATTCTGTATTGTGTTAATTTCAAATTAAATAAATGTTACAATTTCTAAATATGCCAAACTTTGTTACCAGAGGTGTCTAAATTCGATTCGGTGCTACGCCTATAATGTCCATGAAAAAAGATGTATTCTAAAATTAGATTACTCGAATATATTTAGAATATTAATAATTCAATTGACAAACTCGAGAAAGAGAAAGAGAGAGAGAAAGAGAGAGAGAGAGAACGAACAGCGTAAAACGCACATGTAAAACGCGTTGGTAAAAGTATTAGATAAAACTAGCCAAATGGTGGATAATGAGAAGTTTAATGATCACAGTGGTCAAAAGACCGAACGAAATATCGGTCGACCATGCACGAGCCGCGTTAACGAACAAAAGACATTCAAAGCCAAACACAAAGTGGATGAGAGTGATTTACCTGTACCTCCACCGGATCCATGGGCGAGCCTATGGCGTCTGCAAAATACACGAAATCAGGCGGAAGTAGGACAGAGTCGAAACGTCGATGAAGACGAAGACATAATCGCCTACTTGACGGATTTCGGGACGTTGCCGTTCGAAGGTCAAACCTCGGAGTGTCCTTCGAGAAATTCTGCTATGTCTGCAATGGCTATTTCAAGTCTTTACGCGGAAGACGCCTTCGAGCAGTTGGATCGTCTGTATGCTTTCGCCGAGGAAATTCTCGAGCTCAGGGATCGCAATTCCAAATTTTTTAGACGCGTCAGGAATTTAGAGCGGCTGAAAGTACTCCGTAATGCCAATCAGAAGTTGGAAAATGCTTTCGAGCGAGACAAGGACGCGACGATCAACGTTTGCGAGGAGGATACTGGATTCGCAGAATCCTTGTTAGACGCTATGTTATCGAATTGCAGAGATTCGCCATTTCAAAAGCGGAATATTCGATCGTCCTCGTCGAGACAAACGAGAAATAAATTCGACATCGACAAGCAAACGTCGACAGATGAAATTTCTGGGAGCGCACCGAAAGTTTCAAAGTGGACCAGGGTTAAAGCTGCTTTCAAGTGGGAAAGGGCTTATACGAACGATACGGAAGTAATAGATCCATCGATGACAACGAGTACGTCATCGACGACCACCGCCTCTCCCTCCACTCCAACGACTAAATATCACAGAAATCCAGATGTTGAAGTTAAGGAATCGAACAATACGGCCACTTCGTCACCCGTTAACGAACCTTGTAACACAGGCACGCTCTTTGGTGGAACTTCATCTCCATCTTCGTTCAACGAAGGATTTTATGATTGTACGAAATTCGTAAACTTTTGTTTACATATATATGTATTCGTTACAAATATTTTTGCCATTACGGTTTGTCGAATATTATCTTTTTGCAAATTAATCACTTAAATGAAAGGCGTGAGGATCATTTGTAACTAAATCACTCAGACAAATTTTGATAGATGATGATCTTGGTAGATGATCTCTCTCGCTCTTGATAGATGATCGTATGTCCATGTTTTTTCGTAATTCGTTAAATTTTTGTAGGTTCGCAGAAAAGTGCTTTAAATCATTTAGATTACCAATCCTTAAAGAGAAAACCTAATAAAAAGGCAGATTATGGAAATTGGCATAGCAAATCTCTCGATGATAATATCCTTATACTGGACACTTTGCAAGTTAATGAAACGGGTCTAACAAATGAGGTAAATAAAATGTTATTGTCATTTATTAAATTATATTTTATTGTCTATTATCTTTACACATTTGGATGCAGTTTAATTAGCTAAATATCCGCTAACTTTTATTTTCCACGCACTTTGTCTTTGCGATGTATGCATTTACGAACGTAAAATTTACTCTCGTACATCAATTCTCACAAACGAATTTTACTCGAACAAAAATCATTAGCTGTTATCGTATTGATAACGACAGATACGAAAGTATAATATAGTTTAAATCATGATTCGCTTTTCTATAAAATATTTACTCGATATAAATCTTTCTATTATCAAAATAAAATTTTTATACAATACTAGATCGGACAAGGAAAACCATTAATTCGGATTACATCGGATAACGATCACGCGACGTTATCGTCGAATAAAATAGACGAAAAAGATACGGAATCGACATCAAAGAGATCAACGCCAACTTTAACTATTACGATACCTTCACACGATGAGGACAACAGATACATATCTTCCCCGGAATCAAACTCACCACTCTTTTTTAATACAAACACCTCTGCCGGAAATTCTCCACAGCTCAGGAAGACATACCGAGACCTGTCTATAAACAAGGATTTTAAACGGCAGGTTAATATTGTCTTCCTTTATAAATGAAAAATTAATCCCTTCTTATATTTCGAAGATACATTTTGTCCACGAATTATTTACCTTAATTATTGATTTAGTTAATTTTGATTAATTAACTTTTTAAACTTCACACGTTTTTATTATAATGTAACAGCGATCATATGGTGGAGAATCAGCGATTCTTCCGTCAAAAGCACAGAGATCAGACTCCAAATGGAACAAAGTCAGACGAGCGTTTCTAACGAATTCAACTTCAAGCATCTCATCGAATTTCATCAACGTCGTTTCCAGACAGATGCTTTTTCAAGACGGTAATTTAATAATTTACCTATTCATACAATGATATTTCTTTCTAAGAGGACCAGCTTCACGATGATCGCCGTTTCTGTTCGTTTTTAGCAGCAGTGACACAATTGTTTAGGTGTTCCAAAAATGCTTCGCCCTTTTTGCGACACGTTTGCGAAACATTCGTTAACGACGACTTGTGATATTCCAAAATTCCACGTTGCAACGATTCGATTTTATCCAAACCAGTTTGCGCGTTCTGGGACGTTTTGTCTAATATCTTCTCCGCGTAGACTGCGTTTTCTTCGATGCATTTGGCCAACGCTTGCGGAGTTTTGCATTTGCGACAGGAGAGTATCAGAGATTTGGCACGATCGATGCAAACCAATACGTCGCGCTCTAAACACTCGATATTTACTTTTATTCGTTTTATTCGGGGTACGACATCGTATTCCACGTTCTCGAAAGCCTGGCGAACCTCGTGATTCAGCGACATAGCAGATTTGCGTTTCATAGAACCAAACGATGGATCCACCGCGAGCAACTTCTGAAGCGTTTTCTTAATGTCGTGCAAAATTCCACTCACCAATACCTGCTCGTTATTTTTCGACAGTTCTATGTCTTTCGTTAACTGGACGAACATAGATTTTGATTCGTTTTGAATGTTATTCAAGATAGCGTTGGACTGTTTCGTAACATTCTCATACGCTTCCTGATAAACATCCACGACGCTTTTTTCTTTACACTGAAATGTAAGTTACAAATCATTGTCGAGGATCATTGTGTTAATGTGATAGAATAACGTACGCATTTATTACTTTTGGCGGAGGTTTTGCAAACAGTTTCTTACAACATCGCTGTTCCTTAGATAGCTTTGGGCATTTAGCAAGATCCTCTTGATATTTTTTACATTTCGATAATATCGTTTCCTTTTTAACGTCTTGCGGTCTTTTACATAGTGTCTTGCTGCATTGCTTACCCTGTACAGAATATTTGATAATATTGGTATGGATTCTACGAATGACAGGGACAATAAATTTTGCGACCAACATGCCAAATTCACAAATAGAAAGTAATCAAACAGCCGATCTCCGTGCGACAAAAGAAGACGATTTTTTATATTGGAACGATCGAAAAGTTCGTAGTAGTTCTGATAATCGATATAAACAGTAATAATACAAAGTATTGCTTTATTTATCTTTGACGAGATTGGTAGAGAACAATTTATTATAAACTTTTGCCAATCAATGAATCACTAGGGTCAGATAAATGTTGTTTTCCATCAATTAATTAATTAACGAGCACTTCTATGATTGATTGCACTAAAATTCAACGTCGATAACAATTCTTTTTCTTACTCACCAGGACTGGAAGCATCAATCGGCTGTAGTCATAACGACAGCGTGGAAAATGTCGAGAAGGCGACACCGTCGAACGCGCAAGTGGACACACGACGAGATTACCGAGCTCTTAGGGAAAAACTGGGAACCGAATTCCACCAAAAACTGATCGAATGGGAACGTTTAAAAAATCTTCCACCTCGCGTTGCCACGAAAGAAGTTCGTGAAATTTCGCCCAGTTTGCCAAGTCCCCGTGAAAGTTTATTATCTGAAGAAAGATTAGCTCCTGAATTTAGGAAGAAGCTGCAGGACTGGAAACGCGCAAAGAAAGTACGACGAGGAAGTGCTCCTTTTGAACAACAGAGCATCAAACGACGTCGTTTGACCGACTGGCAACTTTGGAGATCTCCTTCGAAAACTGAGCACAGAAATAGAGAGATCGCAACCCCGCAAGTTAACAGTGAATGTGGAGACATCGCTAACGACGGGAAGTCTCAGCTCTGCGAAGATTTTCCACGAAAAATAGAAAATTCGAAGAGAACGAACGAGACTGGCAATAATGATTCCCAATACTCGATACGATCGAAATCGCATCAACATAGAATCGCGTCTGGGATAGATGAAACCGAATTTTTCGTTCTAGAAAGGTTACTATCATTTTTTAATAATAATACGATTAAAGAGAGACGGGGGTGTGACGCTCAACAGTTGGAAGAGTGTTTTGATGCAGATTCAAGGTATAACGCAAATACATGTTTTATTTATTAAGATTGACATTAACAGTGAACTAACCGTAAATAGAAATTCTACTCTACTCTTCTCTTCTAACATTCCAATTAAAAATAATAACAGTAATACCAATAATTGAAGAAATATTCACAAAAATTTGTAAATCTACTAATTTTCATGTTCACACGAAATCGAACAGCCTGGCAGTGATACACATCTTACTAATGTGTATATTTTATTTAAGATCATATGCCGATGGAACACAGAGTCTAAACGATAGCAACGAAGTTTTCGTACGAACGTCTGTCGGATCCTACCGATTCGAAGGTATTTCACGAGAATTCACAAGAAAACTATACGATTGGGAACGGTATCGTGGAATATCGCCCACATCCTCGACCTTCCGCCTCCTAGGACCCGGTTATATACCTTCTCTGAGACGATCGACTATCGAAACATCAACGAATTCAGCCACAAGTAAGATTTTAATTCGTCAATCACAGATAGAACAGTTTTCTCCACATGATCGTTTGAATAGGTAATTATTTAGAAGCTAGAAGCAACGAACCGGTATTGT